TCTGCTCTGGGGGAAGGGGTGGTCGTCAACACGGGTCCAATCTCTGTTTGGAGGGGCGGGTGCCAGCCCTCCCCCCCCCCCGCCCCGACACCTTCTGTCGCTCTATTTCCTAGCTCATCCGCAGCCCCCCCCCCACAGTCTTCCTTCCATTCTTCCTTCCCTCCCTCCTTGCCCTCCTCCCAGCTCCGAGGCCTCTCTTCCTCTCCTCCCGACCGCCAGCAATGACCCGAGCTTCTGGTGGCCCCCGCTGCGGCAATGAGGACGGTCCTCGTTGCGGCAAAGAGCGCACTCCTTCTTTTCTCCACCTCCCCCTTTCTCCCCTCGCCTGCTGCAGACCCCCAGCCCCAGAGCAGGGAACCGGGTCTCCGCTGCCAGTGGTCACCACCTCTCGGAGTCACTGGCCGAAGCGACCCGGCCCGGCGGCCGAGAAGCGGCGGGCTCTGTCCGCGGTGCTGGAGCGCGTACCTGATTCACCACGTCCATGTCTGCCAGTAGCAGCATCAGCAATGCAGGGGGCGGGAGGCGCCTGCTAGCAAGGGCGGGCGCGGGGCGCGGCGGGGGTGGCGCGCGATCGTCGGAACAGCCCGGGCGGCTGCAGCCCCGCCTCTCGCGCCCCCTCCTCGTCCGCCGCGCGCGCCTGCGCATAGCGGGCCGTGCCCAAGTGTCACTGGCCGCCATTCCACCCAGGAGGTTAGAACCTGGAGAGCGCGCTAGGAACGTCATTCCCTCTGAAAACACAGAGGTTTGGGGAGAGGAGGACCGCTCGGTCCTAGAGTATAACATTTTCCCAAGCCCCTTTCTTAGCTTGTTAAATGTTCACTCATTCACTCCTTACAACAGCCCTATGTGGTAGGGACTATTAGCCCCGTTTCTACAGATGAGGAAAATGAGTCCCCAGAGAGGTTAAGTGACTTGCACAAGGACACCCAGCTAGTAACTGGCAGTGCCCAGAGTCCTTGCAGTTTAAACATAGTTCCAGGTCCTAAGGGTTTCTTTTCAAAAGTCCGCATTTAAAGCACATCCTAAAAGCCTCTCCTTCCCCCTTCCAACCATCTCCCCTATTCTTTTCTCTTGGTCAAATTCTTGCCTACTCCAACTCTGCACTTAAAGTCCTATTTATTCCTCAGCTCTCCCTTAATTAGACTATTCCTCCTTCATGCTACTAAAACTAGGCCCATCAAGGTCAGTGGTAATTGCCATGTTGCAAAATCCAATGGGTAAAATACAGCTGGGGCTTAAGATGCTCAGCCTCACTCATACTAAGAGAAATGCATATAAAAACTACTGAGATACTCTTTTTTCATCTCTGAAGATAGTGAGTATCAAAAAGCTTGATAATGCTCAATATTGGAACTTTCATTGGTATAACATCTGTAGAGGTCAATTTGGCAAAATAAGTTTATATAGCAGTGTTTGGCTCAGCATTTATACTTCTAAGAATTTATTTTATAGATAGACTCATACATGTGCTAAAAGGTATACAGTTGACCCTTGAACAACACAGGTTTGAACTGGGAGGGTCCACTTTTTTTTTTATATATATATATAAAGATGACCGGTAAGGGGATCTTAACCCTTGGCTTGGTGTTGTCAGCACCACGCTAAGCCAGTGAGCTAACCGGCCATCCCTATATAGGATCCGAACCCGGGGCCTTGGTGTTATCAGAACCACACTCTCCCAAGTGAGCCATGGGCCAGCCCTCGAGGGTCCACTTCTATGTGGATTTTTTTTTTTTTTTTTTTTTTTTTT